CGAAAAGTCTGTAGCACCCTGCTTTCTCTCTTGCTCCTTTCTTAAATAGTGCAGTGACATTTGTTACCTTCTGCTCTACGGGAATCATTTCAGAATCGATGAAAATCTGGAAGATTATCACGAATGCATTGACTATGTCTACAGTCGTCTGCTTCAACACTCTTGAGTGTAAGCTATTAGGTCCTAGGAACTTATCAACTTCCAGTCTCATAACCTTAATTTCTCACTACAACCTTCTTACAACACTAATTTTCTTTAATTTCTCATTCTCCCTCACCAGTTGGATTTCTAATTTTGAGATTCCTGAAAACATACAAAGCTAATCATTTAGCTTCATTGCTATTTTTCTATTCCCCATTATGAATCCTTCTTTAGTGAACACACATTTGTTAGCCATGCATTTCCTTTTTATGTACCTATAGAAACATTTCCAAACTATTTTTGTTTTTTTAATTCATCATGGGCCAAAGGCATCATTGGCTAGACCAGCATTTATTGCCCATCCCTAATTGCTCAGAGGGCAGCTCAGAGTCGCCACATTGCTGTGAGTCACATGCAGGCCAGATCAGATAAGGATGGCAGTGAACTAGATGAATTTTTCCCACAATCAACAATGGATTTATGGTCATCATTAGACTCTTAATCCTAGATTTTCAGTGATTTCAAATTCCAGCATGTGCCATGGCAGGATTTGAATCTGGGTCCTCAGAACTTTATCTGGGTCTTTCGATTAACAGTCCAACAATACCACCACAAAGCCCTTGCCTTCCCTAGATGATTACATTCATAGTCTATTCCTCAGCCACGAGTTCATTGCAACAATAAGCCCGGTGGGCTGAATGGCTGCCTCCCAGTCTCAAAAAATATTCAGTGCAGTAAAATATTCAATCCTCTGTGCATTCCACACACTTGCTTTCTGAACTTTAATTTTGGCTTTTCCCTAATATTCCTTGATCCTCATCACTGATGCTCTTTCCCTTTGTTCCTCAAACCCTCTCTTTTGGACCCATTTGGCTTTTTTCACCCAAATCTCTGTTCAGATCTACAGCCATGCTGGTCTCCTGACTCCTATTAAAAATGTGAGATAACAAGGTGCAGAGCTGGATGAACACAGCAGGCCAAGCAGCATCAGAGGAGCAGGAAAGCTGACGTTTCGGGCCTAGACCCTTCTTCTGCACCTTGATTTCTCAGATTCTCCAGCATCTGCAGTTCCTACTATCCCTGTTAAAAATGTTGCCCAAGACGTCCAACAGCTTTCACGCACTCCCAGGTTGCAGGTAATGTTTGCAGCTTGGAGGTATCCCTGAGCCGTGTATATATTTAGTATGAGAGGTGGCAATTTCTGTCCAGTTATTTGAGGGGCTGGTTCTCAATACTTAATGGCACTTAATCCATACCCTTGATCTTTGGTTATCCTGTCTGGAGGGGTCTGTATAAATTGTTGAATCCTCTCCTGGGCCTCGATTTGGGCCTGATTCAACTAGCAAGTTGTAGACGCAGGATGAGAAGTTTATCCAATATCTTCCATTGTCTTGTCTGTGCCCAAATGGCCGTGCCCCAAGAGCACACAATGGTCGCCAGTATGCGTGATACATTCCATAGCCAGAGGATGACCCCATGCAGAGTGTGATGGGATAGCCTAGACCCTAACACTTTTTTATTTTAAAGGCAAGTGCCAGGTGTTGCATTCTGGATGCAATTCGATTTGTTAAACTACCAGTCTTGAAGTACAACACACTTTATTCAAACATTATAGTTAAAATACACCAAAAGAAATAAATTGGAATAACAATTCTGTTAGAAAACTAAATGGAATAATAGATCATTTAACTATTAAACAGTATATGTTTCAATATAGTAACATCCCATGAACACACCATTGGCAAAGGCAAGTTCAGTAAAATAGATTGACACACATGTAATTCTCCAGTCCGGGAGGAAAAATATCGAGAGAGAACTCTGAGTAGCAGGGAGAGATGTACTTTAGCTTCAAAACCACAGAAACTGCACTGAAAAACTAAAACTAAAAATCCTGGTTCTGTGGGAGCTTGACCCCACCCATTCAGGTTGCTTCTATTGTTCCGAATTTAGGGAAAAAACCCAAGGCGCCTCAAGCTGTTTGTTTATTGCATTCAAATAGACATCTCGACATCTCTGTCTTTAAACCTCTGCAAAAGAAAAGGACAAAATGCATCTCTTAAAGCCATAGTATTGTCACAGGAGTGTCTCATGGATCCTGATAATGTCCTGATTTAATTGGAAAGGCTGCTTTTGCTTTTGTTGGGAAGTTGTTGATTTTTGTTTCTTTTACTTTGGGTGACATCATAGAATCATAGAATCCCTACAGTGTGGAAACAGGCCCTTCGGCCCAACAAGTCCACACCGACCCACAGAGTATCCCACCCAGACCCATTCCCCTATAAACCCACCTAATAAACACATCCCTGAACACTATGGGCAACTTAGCATGGCCAACTCACCTAGCCTGCACATCTTTGGCCTGTGGGAGGAAACCGGAGCACCCGGAGGAAACCCACGCAGACACGGGGAGAATGTGCAAACTCCACACAGGCAGTTGCCTGAGGGTGGAATCAAACGTTTAAGCAAATGAGAGAAAAAAGATTCCGTAGAGCTCAAATTTTATTTTCTGAACTTATAGCCTGTACCTATGGTGAAGACCTTTTTACACATCTTTTACAGGGTATAACAAAGAGGATTTGTAGTTTAGCTACTCGATTTATCAGGACTATTATCAGCATCAGAATGTGGAAGGACAAATGTTTTTCTGTGTTGCCTGTGGCAAAATGTCAAAAACCAGTGTGACTGAAAGGGCACTGACACACACCCAAGGCATGTTCCTTTAAGGATGAATGATAAGTATGGCAAGTTTAGGGAACCTCGGATAACAGGAGATATTGTGAGCCTAATCAAAAAGAAAAAGGAAGCATTTATTAAGGCTAGGAGGCTGGGAACACACAAAGCAAGGGTGGAATACAAAGAAAGTCGAAAGGAACTTAAGCAAGGAGTCAGGAGGGCTAAATGAAGACATGAAAAGTCATTGGCCAACAGGATTAAGGAAAATCCCAAGGCTTTTTATACGTATATAAAGAGCAAGAAAGTAACCAGGCAGAGGGTTAGCCCACTCAGGGACAGAGAAGGGAATTTATGTGTGGAGCCAGAGGAAATGGGCAAGGTATTAAATGAGTACTTTGCATCAGTATTCACCATAGAGAAGGACTTGGTGGCTGATGAGTCTGGGGAGGGGTGTGTAGATAGTTTGGGTCATTTTGAGATCAAAAGGGAGGAGGCATTGGGGGTCTTGAAAAACATTAAGGTATACAAGTCCCCAGGGCCTGATGGGATATATCCCAGAATACTGAGAGAGGCAAGGGAGGAAGTTGCTGGGGCCTTGGCTACAGGGGACATCCCAGAGGTTTGGAGAATAGCCAATGTTGTTCCTTTGTTTAAGAAAGGTGGCATGGATAATCCAGCTAATTACAGGGCGGTGAGCCTTACGTCAGTGGTAGGGAAATTATTGGAGAGGATTCTTCGAGACAGGATTTACTCCCACCTGGAAATCAATGGGTGTATTAGCGAGAGGCAACATGGTTTATGAAGGGGAGGTTGTGTGTCTCTAACTCAATCGAGTTTTTTGAGGAAGTGACGAAGATGATCGATGAGGGTAGGGCAGTGGATGTTGTCTACATGGACTTCATTAAGGCCTTTGACAAGGTCCCTCATGGCAGGCTGATACAGCAGGTAAAGTCGCACGGGGTGAGAGGTGAGCTTGCAAGATGGATAAAAAACTAGCTCGGTCATAGAAGACAGAGGGTAGCAGTGGAAGGGTGCATTTCTGAATGGAGGGCTGTGACTAGTGGCGTTCCTCAGGGATCAGTGTTGGGACCTTTGCTGTTTGTAATATATATAAGTGATTTGGAGGAGAATGTAAGTGGTCTGATTAGTAAGTTTGCCGATGACACAAGTTGGTGGAATTGCGAATAGCGATGAGGACCGTCAAAGGATACAACTCGATATAGATCGGTTGGTGACTTGGGCAGAGATGGCAGAAAAATGTGAGTTAATGCATTTTCGAAGGTCTAATCGAGATGGAAAATATACAGGAAATGGCAGAACCCTTAAGAGTACTGATAGGCAGGGGGATCTGGGTGTACAGGTACATAGGTCACTGAAAGTGGCAACGCAGGTGGAAAAGGTAGTCAACAAGGCATATGGCATGCTTGCCTTCATCAGCTGAGGCGTTGAGTTTAAAAATTGGCAGGTAATGTTGCAGCTTTACAGAACCTTAGTTAGGCAGTATTTTGAATATTGTGTTCAGTCTGGTCGCCACAGTACCGGAAGGATGTGGTGGCTTTGGAGAGGGTACAGAAAAGATTTATCAGGATGTTGCCTGGTATGGAGGGCATTAGCTATGAGGAGAGGGTGGAGAATCTTGGGTTGTTCTCACTGGAATGACAGAGATTGAGGGGCAACTTGATAGAGGTGTACAAGATTATGAAGGGCATGGACAGAGTGGACTGTCAGAAGCTTTTTCCCAGGGTGAAAAAGTCAGTTACCAGGGGCCATGGGTTTAAGGTGCAAGGGGCAAGGTTTAAAGGTGATGTATGAGGCAAGTTTTTTTTACACAGAGGGTAGTGGGTGCCTGGAACTTGCTGCCAGAGAAGGTAGTGGAAGCAGATACTATAGTGACTTTTAAAGGGCGTCTTGACAAATATATGAATAGGATGAGAATAGAGGGATATGGTCCCCGGAAGGGTAGGGGGTTTTAGTTGTGACGGGCAGCATATCAGTGCAGGCTTGGAGGGCCGAAGGGGCTGTTCCTGTACTGTAATTTTCTTTGTTCTATTCCAGTGCGCAGATGAAAGGGCCGATAGCATCCCGACGAACTGACAGTGGATGAGGTTTAACCAGTTACAGCCTGAAACAAAAATTGCACCAAATTGCACAGTATACGTGTTCTGTGTGGACAAGGTTTTGACTGATCATTCAACCTGGGGAGACACAAGGGCACCCGCATTACAGAGAAACCATGGAAATGTGGAGACTGTGGGAAAGGATACAATTACCCATCTGAACTGGAAACTCATCGACGCAGTCACACTGGAGAGAAACCATGGAAATGTGGAGATTGCGGAAAGGGATTCAATTACCCATCTCAGCTGGAAATCCATCGACGCAGTCACACTGGAGAGAGGCCATTCACCTGCTCCATGTGTAGAAAGGGATTCACAGAGTTATCGAAGCTCCATATGCACATGCATGTTCACACTGGGGAGAGACCATTCCCCTGCTCACTCTGTGGGAAGGAATTCACGCAGTTATCCACCCTGCTTACTCACAGACGTGTTCATACTGATAAGAGACCTTTTCGATGTTTGGAATGCGAGAAGAGTTTTAAAAGTCGAACTGAGGTGCTGACGCACCAACGCACTCATACTGGGGAGAGGCCATTCACCTGCTCTGTGTGTGGCAAGGCATTCACTCAGTCTTCTACCCTGCAGAAACACCAACGAGTTCACACTGGGGAGAGGCCATTTACCTGCTCCATGTGTGGAAAGGGATTCACTCAGTCATCCAGCCTTGTGGAGCACCAGAGAGTTCATACTGGGGAGAGGCCATTCACTTGCTCCCTGTGTGGGAAGGGATTCACCCATTCATCCCATCTGCAGACACACCAGCGAATTCATACTGGGGAGAGGCCCTTCACCTGCGCTGTGTGTGGAAGGGGATTCACTCAAAAATCCAGTCTTCTTGGGCACCAGCGACTTCATACTGGGGAGAGACCCTACACCTGCTCTGCGTGTGGGAAGGGATTCACTCGTTCATCTAATCTGGTGACTCACCAGCGAATTCACAAGTGACTGCATAATGGTCTTAGGATAGATTCTGCTACTAATCACACACACAATAGAATTATGTTCATTCAGATAGTTGGAGTTCCTTTCAAATATTATCCGCATATTAAAACTGGATGCTAAAATTGTGGATAAAATTGACATCAGTTAGCCTTGTTTAAAACATTATGATTTTGCCCACTTGACTTCTTAACGCCAGGCTGTAGCTCAGAAAAGACACTGTCAGGAGTGGATTGTACAGTAGGAACAAAACTTCAGCCAGACTTGATCTTTCATTATCCCCCTTAGTGTTTCTCATCTCTCTTCACTGATAACAAACTTACCACGTGGGGTTAATTCTGAGATGTGTAAGCAATGTGTACCAGCAGTTCTTTTCTATAGTCCAGACATGCACAGAAGCTCCTTTTACTGTGGTTTTTCCTGACTGTAAACACAAGTTAACGATGGAATCATGCTGTTCCTGACTGAAAGTTGACCAGTAGAACTAAACTTTGATTTGAAATTGATTATGGTAATTATTTTGCATAGTTTAAATGTACTTCTGTGATATTTGGATTCTAACATTTTAAGACGGATATTATTTTGTTTAAAAGCAGCCTTTTTGAAAGTAGATTTGTTAACATATTTGTTAACATATTTGATTAAAATAGGAGGATTTTGTGGCAACCTGTTCAATGTAACCTCTATTCATAAATCAACTGTTAGTGTCCAGGTATCATTCAGGTAAATCCGTGTTGCTGTTCCCCTCCAGGATAGTCTATCCTTCCTCTGTGGTGCAAATCTAGAATGCATTGCCTGGGAGTGTAGTAGAGACAGGAACCCTCAACTTCGATGTATCCTCCAGTTGTGTTCTTGGCAGGATTTATAATCTCTTGCTTCTTTTCCAGTTAACGCTGATCTCTAAAATCTTTCTCTCATGGACAGAGCAGGCACAACTTTTTCCTCCCAATGTCAAAGTCTGGTATATTCAGATCCTGGTGAATGGAGTACATAGAACATAGAACTGTACAGCACAGGAATGGGCCTTTTGGCCCACAATATTGTGCTGTACATGGTGCCAAATTAAACTAATCCCTTCTGACTGCCCTTGGTCTGTATCCCTTCATTCCTTGCTAATTCATGTGCTTATCTAAAAGTCCTTTAAATGACCCTATTGTATCTGCCTCCATCACCACCCCAGTGGCATGTTCCAGACTCCTATCACACTTTGTCTTTCAAAGAAAAAGGCCCCTCGCATTTCCTTTGAAGTTTGCCCCTCTCACCTTAAATGCATGTCCCTTACTATTAGACATTTCACCTTGGGGGTGGGTGTTAAGATTCTGACCATCTACCTTATCTATGCATCTCATTATTCTAGAGACTTCTATCAAGTCAACCCTCAGCCTTTGCTGCTCCAGAGAAAAAAAAACAACCCTAGTTTTTCTAGCCTGTTTTTATAGTTCACACCCTCTAATCCAGGCAGACCCATCTTCTACACCCTCTCTGAAGCCTCCACATTCTTCCTGTAATATGGCAACCAGAATTGAACACAATACTCTTAAGTATGGCCTAACCAAAATCTTATAAAGCTGCAACATGACATCCTGACTCTTGTACTTAATTCCTTGACCAATAAAGGCAAGCATGCCGTATACCTCCTTTACCACCCTATCTACTCGTGTGCCACTTTCAGGGAGCTATGCACGTAAACCCCAAGATCCCTCCATACATCAATGCTGTTCAGAGTCCTGCCATAACTGTACACTTTTCCTTAACATTTGATCTCCCAAAGTGCAGCACCTCACACTTACCTGGATTAAACTCCATCTGCCATTTCTCCACCCACGTCTGCAATGATCTATAACCTGCTGTATCCTTTGGCAACCTTCTACACTATCCGCAACTCCACTGATCTTTGTATCATCTACAAACTTACTAACCCACCCGTCTACATTTTCATCCAAGTCATTTGTATATCTCCCAAACAGCAGAGGTCCTGGTATGGATCCCTGCAGAACACCACTAGTCATGGACTTCCAGCCAGAAAAACACACTTCCACCACTACCCTCTGCCTTCTATGGGCAAGCCATTTCTGAATCCACGCGGCCAAGTCACTGTGGATCCCATGCATCTGAAACTTCTGGATGAGCCTGCAATGAGGGATCTCAAAAGTCTTACTAAAATCCATGTAGACAACATCCACTGCTCTATCCTCATTGATCACATTTGTCACCTCGAAAAATTCACCCTTCTTAATAAGACATGACCTGACCTGACCTGACCAGACCCGCACAAATCTGTGCTGGCTGACCCTAATTAGGCCATGCTTTTCCAAATGCGCGTAAATCCTATCCCTAAGAATTCTGTCCAATAGTTTCCCAACCTCCAATGTGAGATTCACCAGTCTATAGTTTCTCAGATTATCCCTATTTTCCTTTCTGAACAGAGGAACAACATTAGCTATTCACCAGTCCTCTGGGACCTCTCCAGTGGCTAGCAAAGATACAAAGATCTTGGTCAAGACCCCAGCAATCTCCTCTCTTGCCTCTCAAAATCCTGGGGTACATACCATCGGGCCCTGGGAACTTATCCACCTTAATGCTTTTCAAGAGGCCCAACTCCACTTCTATCTTGATCTCAAAAGGCCCTAGCCTATTGGTTTGCTCTTCACAAATCTCACTATCCTCCATGTTCTTCTGGGTAAATACCGACACTAAGTACTCATTTAGGACTGAATGAATCAGTTCTTGTTGTGTTTGACTTGAATTTTCCATCTGCAAATATTTCCCATTAACTCTCCTGATAAAGAAGTTGACAGAAACTGTTCCTTTCAGGCAGGAAAGAAACCATCACTTCAGATTCCTGGTCAAGGAGGGCTGCGGATGTGCAGTGTTGCGGATTGCCCTGATCAAGTAAACAGATGATAGCATGTGCTCGATGACAAGGGAAGGCAATGGCCTAGTGGTATTATCGTTGGACTGTTAATAGAAATGTTCTGGGATCTGGGTTCTAATCCTGGCGTATGTTGGAATTTGAATTCAATAAAAAACATTTGGAATTTGTATTCTTAAAAATGACCATGAATCCAAGAGAAAGCAAGAATTACAGATGCTGGATTCATGGATAACACAGTATGGAGCTGAAGAAGGGTCCCAACCCGAAATGTCAACTTTCCTACTCCTCTGATGCTGCCTGGCCTGCTCTGTTCTTCCAGCTCCATACTGTGTTATCCATGAATCTATTATTGATTGTCAAGCAAAACCCATCTGCCTCCCTTTAGGGAAGGGAACTGCCATCTTTGCCTGGTCTGGTCTACATGTGACTCCACACCCACAGCAATGTGCTTGACTCTTAACTGCCCTGTGGGCAATTAGGGATGGGCAATAAATGCTGGCCCAGCCAGTGATGCCTTTCTCCCATGAATGAATATTTTTAAAGAAAAATAGTAGCCCTGCTTCTGTTACACGGTTTGGGTCAAACTCAGGGCAAGTGGGTTCTTGTTTGACATGCAAAGCCTTTATAAGATGTATCAGATGTTCCCAGTGCCTCTGTTCTTTTCCTGCCCTGCTTCTATGAAATAGATAGAACTGCCACCAGACCTGCAATGTGCGTCCTCCACTCTCTGCCTGGCCCTGCCCCTTTTTGACTCCTGAATGGTCGGAGGACCAACTGCAAGACCCATTGTGAGATGTGCAGAGGGTTTACAAATCCTAAGTTTGGCTCCAGAGTGAATCTGAACAATGAACATTCTCGAGTCTCTGTTTGCCACTACTGGCTCATCGCTGCACTGCATTGCCCACACCAGTAACACCAACATTAGCCAAAACAATGACATTCATGGCAGCTAAAGAGGCATATTTTCATATCTTCAAATCTTCCACTACAGCTGTTCAAGATCAAAGAGCCAACTAACTTTGAAGAATCAGAGTGAAGGAGGGGGATTGGGCCACAGACTGAGTCACCAGTTTAAGGACAGGAAAAGTAATGATCTCAAGAAGAAAAGAATAAGTAAAATGACTGGATACTGAGTCTTGAGCAAGGACCAGAGAAGAGAGGAGTGTATTGGACACGCTTTATAGATGTTGAGAAACAAAGAAGAACAATGCTAAATAGGAACTAAAATTGTCAGTTCTGAATTTCGATCATGTACTAAGAGTGATGAATTCACTAAATGCCTTTCACATTTTGTTCAAGGAGGAGCAGTTCCACATAGCAAAGCCAAAAGAAGCACAGAAGACCAGAGAGATCTTGATGTGCTTGTCCACAGATCTTTGAAGGCAGAGGACAGGTTAATAAAATGATTTAAGAATGGGACCCTTGCCTTTATAAGTTGTGGCATAGTTTATAAAAGCAGGGAGGTTATATTGTAGCTGTACAAAGCTTTGGTTAGGCCACAGCTGAGGTACTGTGTGTGTAGGGGGACCAGTGGATGTGTAACATTTGGATTTCCAGATGATGCTTGCTAAGGTACATCATAAAAGGTTAAGTCACAAGATAAGTGCCCATGGTGTTGGTGGTGGTATATTGGAATGGATAGAGAATTGGCTCATGTTTAGAAAACAGCAAATGGAGACAAAGAGGTGCTGTCTTGCAGGTTGACAACCTGTCGCGTTCAACATATATCAGTGCTGGGACCACAACTGTTTACGGTATGTATTAATGACTTGGAGAAAGGAAGTGAATGTACTGTAGCCAAATTTTCAGATGGCATGAAAATAGATGTGAGAGGGATGCAAACAATTTATAAAGAGATGCTGATAGGTTAAGTGGGCAAAAATTTGGCAAACTGAGTATAATGTGGAAAATGTGAAGTTGTTAATTTTGGGAAGGGGAACAAGAGAGAAGAATATTATTTAAGTGGAAAAAAGAATCAGAAAGCTGTAGCACAAAAGAAGGGGATGGTCACTCTGTTGGCACTGTATTTTAGACCCCCAAATAGCCAGTGGGTACTAGAGGAGCAGATGTATATAGAGATTGCAGATATCTGTAGGAATAATAGTGGCATTGCTTGGAGATTTTAATTCCCCTGTATTAACTGAGCCACCCGGAGTGTAAAAGGCCTGGATGGGGTGGAATTTGTCAGATGTGTCCAAGAAAGTTTCCTAAATTAATATGTAGAAGGCCCTATTTGGGAGGGTGCAACACTGGACATCCTCTTAGGAAATGAGGTCAGGCGAGTGACTGAAGAGTCAGTCAGAGAACACTTTGGGTCCAGTGACCATAACACACTCTTAGTTTTAGCATAATTATGGAAAAAGACAGGACAGGCCTACAAGTTATGGTGCTAAACTGGAGTAGGGCCAATTTTGGGGCCATTAGGCAGGAGCTAGCAGCGGTTGATTGGATGATTCTGTTTGAAGGAAAAGGAATGATTGGCAAATGCAAGGCTTTTAAAAAAGTGTGATATCAAGCATGTTCCTGTTAGGGTGAAAGGAAAGCTGACAAGGGATATTGAAGCTCTGGTCACGATAAAGGAAGAGACATACATTGGGTTTAAGCTATCAGGCTCAACTGAATCCTCAGATGACTATAAAAAGTGTACGAGCGCACTTAAGAGGAAATCAGAAGAGCAAAAAGAGGGTATGAGATGGATCTGGCAGATCAGATTAAAGATAATCCCAAGAGGTTCTATAGTTATATTAAGAGTAAGAGGGTGGCTAGGGAGAGAATAGGTCCACTTAGATCAGCGTGGCTGTCTGTGTGTGGAACCACAGGAGATGGGGAGATTTTTAATGAATATTTCTCCTCTATTTACTGAGGAGAGAATCATGGATGCTAAGCAAATAAAGGAAACAAGTGAGGATGTTTTGGATCACATACATATTATCAGAAAGGAGGTGTTTGCCCCCTTAACGTGCATCAAAGTGGATAAATCCCCTGGGCCTGATGAAGCCCATCTGCCAACATTGTGGGAGGCTAGGGAAGAAATTGCGGAGGCCCTTGCCGAGATTTTTTGCTTCGTCTTTAGCCACTGGTGAAGTTCCAGAAGATTGGAGGGTGGCTAATGGTGTTCCAATGTTTAAGAAAGGT